GACCATATTGTATTTTCTTTTCTCCACTTATGCAACATTTTTATTCCTCTCTCCCACATCCATGAGACTAATATATTTCCAGAGGACATGCCATTGACATATGCACTAGGGTGTTTATATTTTCAGTCAAATTTCTCCTATATCGACCTATCTTATTTGGAATTCAACATCAGCGCATGCGCTGCTCCCTAATGGTATGAGATCGAGAACGCCGTTTCCTCAAGTGCCTCTTCATTTCCTAAATTATATATGCGATAAGTAAACAACACGGCCCACCTTTGGTACGTTACAGTTCGTTAACTTGAATACACTTCCATTCCTAAACTACATCTGATATATTATAATCTAGTATTCCCCTCCTTCTATATACGCTTATGTCCACGTACCATTTCTATCCTTCTTTTTCTCTTGTCATTAGTGTTATGTTTTAATGGTTCATTTTGCTTCACTCGCCTCATGGTGACGCGCAAGCGATTGAAAGGAGAGATCCGTCAAGAATCGTGAGTAATTGTCACGTCAATAGTGTTATAGCTATATTCTTCATTTTCAATTCTCTTATGAATATTGGGTAAATTCACCCTATTTTTTATAGGTACTTCTCTTTAAATAAAGTAGATAATCTGTTTTTTTCTCTTTTGAATTAAATTAATCTGTTTTTGTCAGAGATTGCAACAAAGAGCATACCCGATTATATGAATAAAAAGTGATTCTTGCTAGTCGCAGATAAGACGATATGAATCATTGGCATAAATGTACTATGTGCAGTACTAAGGAAATATTAATAGATAATGTTATATATAGATGGGTTGATTAGCTCAATATTCATAAGAGATTGAAAATTTAAGAATATAGCTATGTTATAGAGATGTGACAATTTACACACAAGTATGACCAAATTCTTATTCCAGGCGCGTGTGCATAATGTTGACACTTCAAAACTAAAAATATCATACTATACTATATACTACATAGTATAGTCACACGAATGAGTTAATTAGTTACGAATTTGAGTTTAAACAATTATGTGACTATACTATACATGCATGCGGCATAGTATGGAATAAGCGACAAAAATACATAGGTTTTTTATTTCAATATATGTTCACAATGCAAATCAATTGGGAGGAGAAAAAATTAGTGTGACATTTTGGAAATGTTAACATGCATAACAACCATACTAAGAATTAGTTTTAGTTTTGCTCTAAAGTGACAGTAACAAAACAAAGAAAAATGAAATCTAAGAAAGAATAAGAAAGGGTAGGACGAGGTGAGGATACAGCGGATTGTGGTGGTGGAGGAGAAGACGATGGCGTTTCTTAAACAACTGGTGGTGGGGTTGTGGCAATGACACCGGTTGGATAGCAACAAATAACACAGTGTTATGTTTCTATCCTATATGTTTATAATAGAATAGAACATAAAAAAAATCATCTTCTCCGATAGAATAAAAAGTGTACATAATGGCGGCAAAAATTGTATCTAACACGGAGTAATGAATTTTTTAGTTGATATAGTTGGCGGATGAAATAATAGATGTGGAGAAAGATGACAAGAAAAAGAAAATAATACATATTGTAACATGCTATATTATGTATGTAAAATAAAATAGTATAGCATAATTCACTATCAACTACACTAGTCAACGCAGACACAACGAAGACATCAAACTCACTGAACATAATAAAAACCAAAACATATTACATAACAGAGGAAAAGAAAAAACGAAGAAAAGTGAGAAAAATAAAAAAGAGAGAAAGAAATGGAAGCATGGTGAAAGGTGCAGAAGAACAAAAGAAAAAAAAAGAATGAGATATAAGGGAAAAAAAAAAGCTAGAAGAAAAGAGAAGCAAAAGAAAAAGAGGATGAAACACATTGACAAATACAAAGACAAGATATAAAGATATATTATAAGGAAACATTCTATTCCATGATGTTAAATAGAATAGAAAAATACATCTCAATTGAACTAAACATTTTTTTAGATGTGAGAATTGAAATAAGGAGACAGATGAGGAAAAACCCTTTTTAGAGTAATCGTTGGAATTGTCATTGGACTAATGAATGGGAAAAATAAACCACCATGGGAGATGGAAGAAAGAGTTAATAAATTATCATAACTAAAGTTTAATTTCTATTCTATTTGTACAGTTAACATAGAATAGACTATGTAACATGCATAGTACTGTTTATCTTCTTCTTCAACTCATGGTCTGATTTTCTGTTCTTACATTTCATGTTGATTAAAAACAATTAACCACAATTTAACATTCCAAATTCCGTCGTTGATTAAATACGGACCGTAACACATTCTTTTCAATCAATACAATTTTTATCATCATCGAAAAGGAATTATATGATGAAAAAAGTATGATTATATTGTGGAAAATAGAACAAACTTTATCATAAAAACGTATAAAAAAATGAGCGTCTGAAATTGAAGGACAAAAAGATAATTAATACATATTATACATAGAATATGATAGCCATTAGGTTGTTATTGTTAGATAAGATACGATAAGTATTGTTAGAGTATAGATAAATACGTATCTGATTTGTGTATATCTGCTCCTATAGATAAGGATGCCTATATTGTATATATATTGATACGATGAATACAGAAATCTCTACAGAGATTTACATTATAACATGGTATCAGAGCAAGAGGATGAGAGGGTTGCGAGGATGGTGTGATGGGGTAGAGCGGTCCCTGACTATTGCAATGGAGCAGAGTTGTCCGAGTGCGAAGATCCTTAATAGAAAAACCAAAAGGATCAAATTCAAGAGAGCAAAAATTGCCAGTGACAAATTTACGAACAGAGATTAAATTTTTAATAATAAAAGGGCAGACAAGAACATTGCAAAGATGAAAAGGACGAGAAAGAGATGGAATAACTCTCTGACCCAGTTTTGTAACAGGTGCATACGAGCCGTTTCCAACGATGACAGAAGGTAACTTGCTCGTATTAACAATGGAACGAAGAGTACCTTGATCTGAGGCTATGTGGTTTGTCGCTCCAGTGTCAAAGTACCAAGACGCATTACTCGGATCCTCAAACGTCATTGTGTTGAACGCATGTGCCAGGTTCGCAGGTATGTTGGTGAGCATTGGTTTCGCAGCTTGAGATGCGACAAATGAGTGAGCTTGATTTGGCTGGGGAGCACCTGGACGTGGACCTAGAATTCCTGGTTGATTTGTGAACACTTGCTTGCAGCTTATGATGGACTACTAGTCTCTGATCCCTCCTTATATCGAAGCCTTGCTGGAGCTCTTCAATACCTCATTTTTACTCGACCAGATATTGCATTCGCAGTTCAACAAGTATGTCTGTTCATGCATGACCCACGTGAACCGCACCTAAATGCTCTCAAGCGTGTACTTCGGTATGTAAAAGGTACTATTACTCACCGTCTGCGTCTTCACAAGTCAACCTCCACCGGGTTAGTTGCTTACTCTGATGCTGATTCGGCTGGCTGCCCGACTACTCGACGATCCACATCTGGCTACTGCGTATTCCTTGGCGACAATCTCGTATCATGGTCATCCAAGCGTCAAGACATAGTCTCCATGTCAAGCGCAGAAGCAGAATATCGGGGTGTTGCTAATGCAGTATCAGAGGCTATTTGGCTTCGTACTCTCTTGCTTGAAATGAGAATTCCTATCGCTCGGGCTACAGTAGTCTATTGTGACAATGTCTCTGCCATCTACATGTCCTCTAATCCAGTCAAACACCAACGCACCAAACACGTTGAAATCAACATACATTTTGTTCGTGAAAAAGTGGCGATTGGTGAAGTTCGCGTGCTCCATGTTCCGTCTGCTCAACAGTTTGCTGATGTCTTTACTAAGGGTCTCTCTTCATCGCTATTCTTGGACTTTCGGAACAGTCTCAGTGTTCGTCCCTCTGCCGCTTCGACTGAGGGGGAGTGTTAGATAAGATACGATAAGTATTGTTAGAGTATAGATAAATACGTATCTGATTTGTGTATATCTGCTCCTATAGATAAGGATGCCTATATTGTATATATATTGATACGATGAATACAGAACTCTCTACGGAGACTTACATTATAACAGTTATGGTTAGTTGTTTAATTATTATTTTTGTTATGGCTATTGGTGCCAAATCCCCTATATAGATCCACATAAATGAAAAACAACGAACTGATGAATCCAGCTAATCTCATGTGGCATACCAAGGCCAGAAAGAAAAAAAAGGTCCAGAAATGTACATATCGAATAAGATTCCACCTCTCATTTGATCTCTGAATTTTATTTAGGTTGTATCTTCTGTAATCGTTTCTTACGATAATATGTTTGTTCTGTAATAGCTAGTTTTAGTTTGCATTTCAATTTAAAAAACAGAAAATGGTATAAGCCTTTTGTAAAAAAAAAACCAGAAAATGGTATAATACATTAGCAAATAGTATGTCTATATTTAATACACCACTTAAATAAAAAATTAAAATATTACATCAGTTATTAAAACTAGATAACTAATAGATACTGAAATTTAACAGTTTTAATTATCATTAATTTAAAATATGTACCTAATAATTTAAATAAAAATTGAAATTTAGGTATATATATATATATATATATATTAGTCTGGACAAGGTGGACTCTCATTTATATGTATATGTATATGTATGATTATGAGAAAAATATATATTCAGAAAAATTGAAGTTCGCTGATGGCAGTATCAAATCAATTATAGGACCATTAAATTATTGCTACATGTATAACTTTTGAAATGAATAATTGTCCCCTCTATAACTATGCCAAACAAAACCTACGTTAAACAAATAGGAGTTTCCTTTATAAAATTCCAAAATACTTGAATTGGTTTTACATGTACAGTTCAGTGTGCGTGAGAAGCAGGTGATTTAAAAATTAAAATAAAAAAATAGCCGAGCTCTTTCTCTCTCTCTCTCTCAAAATATCGTCGCCTATAAAAACACTCCCTCATCTTCTTCACTACTCAAGTCTTTCTTCACATATCAAGATTCAAGAACAATCAAACTCTCAGATCCAAAAAATGATCTCAGTGGTGATTATAACTGAGCTACTAGTGGAGTACACCACAGCTCTCGCTAAACTCACCGCCGGTATTCTCCCACGTCGTACCGGCGATAGAAACGCCTTACGGATTGGCGGTTTCCTCCTTCCTGCTCCGTCCTCACCATCTTCAACCATTCCTGATTTTTCTTCTCATCTCGTCGACTTCTGATTTTTCTAAATCGATGAGAAGTGGCTGAGATTTTTACAGAGTGTTCCTAGTCTTCTCTCTCTTGGTTTTGAATCGTATAGAGCTTTTGTAGATCCGTATCTGAACTTATATTTATAGATATGACTTTTGTAACTCGTGATTCTGATTTTACTAACTATGTTTATGGTAATGAAGAAGATCTTTCATGCAATTTTTTCTTTGTTACAAATATTTCTCAAATGGGGATGATCGAAATATCCATTAGATTTTGAGATTAAATTCAATGTTATTAACTTAGTGCGCACATTGTAAGTGCAAAGATGACACCACAATAAGATAGTACAAAAGGTAAACCAAGAGAAAAAACACCAATAGCTTTATTCAAATTTTTTTAAAACAATCTTTACAAGACCTTGTTTATTCAGCTTTACACGTCTAGTGTTAACACCCTAACACACGTCACTGAAAGATTCCTAAGCTACTCACTTATGTCTCTCTACCGTCAAGTACTTCAACCTCTGCTTCAGCACAACCCAAGAACACCTTAAGAGCTTCTCTCTCTCTATAAGATCAGCCTCTGTGTCTCTGTCTCTCTACAGACGACCCCATTGCTATCTTATACTTATTATCCACGTTCCCAAAACCCTAGTATTCAAGGAACACAATATGGACATCTTCCATAACATTAAGTGCAACTTTCCTTTTCTTGGAATATTCCTCTTTCCTTTAAATCATAAACTTGCTCCTCAAGTTTATTCCTCTTGCCTTTTCTCCAAGATACACCCTTGCTCTCCAAGTCTACACGACTCCAGCTCAGCATCTTGACTCCACATGGTGTTCACCACTCAACACGACGTCTGCCTCAGCAACTACGTCAGCGACTACTTCAGGGCGGACATCTTACATCTTCAATCTCCCCCTTTTAACTTTGTATGCCAATCAAGCACAACATCCTTTTGGTTCAACAACCACGTTCCTCACTTGGAACCTTCCATACCAAATGTGCTTTTCTCCCCCACGATATGAGCACCACACCATGCTTTTCTCCCCCATGAGATAAGCATCATCTACTTCAGGACGTCCATCACCATGCTCTTCTCCCCCGTGAGATATGCACTCCTTGGACCAGAACATCACCACTTCTCCCCCTGCTTGATTGCATACTAAGCTAAAACATAGATGCTTAGATGTCAAGCCTTCTTTCACAGACACACACGTCTGTCTCTTCATGTATAATCATGACACAGCCCCTGCTGCAGCGGAATAACAAGTACTGCATCACAATCTGACGCACCTGTCGAACTACCTTTCGACCCACTTCCGTTGAGGACTTGGCTTCCTTCATGCGTCGTCTTCTTGACCATGACCTCCTCCTCATCCACACCGAGTGCTCTCTGCACCCGTTGCTATTGTCTTGGAGTGATTTCGCTATCACCCTCCTGAAGATCATCTCGCATCACTTCCTGACGCACTTCGATCTCCTTCCCCTTTAAACCACAAACAACTCCGTGTCCTGGCTCCAGACTTGATGCTTCTTGATCTTCCTCAGGATCACTCCTACCAGAGCTGCACCCTTCTTCTGATGTTCCTTTCTTGACCTCATCAAGTAAGCCACTCTTGAGGAAGATCAAGTTTTCAACCCCCTTGGGTTTAGTGAACGTATTGTTCACCTTCTTGGCCATGTTTCTGCTCTTCTCACGAGCAAAACACTCCACCTTCTTGTGTCCATCCTTCCCACAGAACCAGCAGCACATCCGATGTTGCTTCTTATTGGGCCTGACACAGTTGCTGATGCACCGATCAGCCTCTTTTCTTGGACCAGATGCACAACCATGCTTCAGAACCTCCTGTCTGACCTTCATGTTGCTGCACTAATGTACCACTTTCGGCTTGTTACTCACAGCCACGCGCTGTAGAACTTCATGCCGTACTCCTTGTCGTACGTCCCGACGTACTTCCTGACGAACATCTTTGGCTTCACTTTTTGAAGTGCTCCCTTGCACGAACTGTGACCGCCCCTTCTGCTGTACACCAGTGCTCTCACCTCCTCGGTATCCCAGTCCCCAATTTTCCTTGGCAGGTTGTCCCATTGAGAGTATCTTATCCAACTCCTTGGATCCACTATTGAGCATTCTGATCTGTTTGTGATTCTCAGTCAAATCACGTTCCAGCTTCCTTGCTCTCTCTCTTGTTCACCAGTAGCAACTCTTCTCAGCTTGCTAACTTCCTCTTCAAGAGACTCATTCTTCTCTTCTACAGCCGCAAGTTCTTCACGAAGTTCTTCAAGCAACTCGTTTTTCTTCTGAGCCACACTCTCCCATCTCAGATTCTCATTCTTGAGCTTCAACCACTTGTTGAGCAGCACGTGATACTCCTCATCATCTGTACTGCGATATGAAACCGAGGATTCACTAGCTCCCTCTTTGTGTGCACCAAATGCAACCATATTCTTCGTCGCCTTATCATCTTCTTCAGACTCTGAATCATCAGACGACTGAGCTTCTTTTCCCTTCTTTGAGTTTGGACATTCTCGCCTTGTGTGTCCAACACCTCTGCACTCAGAACACTTAAGTTCCTTTCGTTGTGCCATAGGACAATCAGCCCTCACATGACCAATTCCTTCACACTCGTAACACTTGATAGCATCTCTTCTACCATTGGCACGATCACCTCCTTGACGACCATATTGATTCCTCCCACTAGAGGAGTTTGTCGCCCTAACAAACTTCCTAGCCAACATACCCACAGTATCTTCAAGCTTCTGGAATCTATCACCATCTTTGTCAGCTGTAAGCGCTATACTCTCTGGCGCACTGCCTGACGTAGAGACTGAACTACTGTATGTCTCCATCTCGTGTGCCTTCAGCATACCCACAAGCTTATCAAACTTGAGCTCATCCGTGTTTGTTGTCATCTGCAAGACTGCCTTATGAGCTTCAAACTTCCTTGGAAGACAGCGTAGTAACTTCTTTACCAGCTTCTTCTCCTTGTACTTCTTCCCAAGTACAAATGCTTCATGCGCCATAGCACTGAGTTTGGCACTAAAGCTCGCCACATAATCAACATCAGACCATCTGAGATTCTCAAACTGCGACCCAAGATGATCTAGGCGTGTCCTCTTGACACTCTCATCTCCCTCAAATGAATTCAGCAGGATCTCCCACGCTTCTTTAGCTGACGTACTCCCCTGAATCAGCTGAAACTGCTCTGCTTTAACAGCTCCAAAAATCACCGATAATGCCTTTGCATTAAATTTTGATGCATTGCGTTCTTCCTCTGACCAATCCTCTTTTGGCTTGGGCTTCTTCTCATCTCCTGTGACTATGGTAGGCTCCTCCCAACCAATCTCCACAGCTGTCCACGCATCTTCATTGATTCCTCAAATCATCTGCTTTATGCGAGCCTTCCAATGACCATACTGGTCTGCATTCAACATGATTGCCTTGTGCATCGTAACAATCGTGTCCATCTTCACCTTCAGGATCACACCAGTAACTTAGGTGACCCGCTCTGATACCAATTGTAAGTGCAAAGATGACACCACAATAAGATAGTACAGAAGGTAAACCAAGAGACAAAACACCAATAGCTTTATTCAAATCTTCTTTAAACAATCTTTACAAGACCTTGTTTATTCAGCTTTACACGTCTAGTGTTAACACCCTAACACATGTCACTGAAAGATTCCTAAGCTACTCACTTATGTCTCACTACCGTCAAGTACTTCAGCCTCTGCTTCAGCACGACCCAAGAACACCTTAAGAGCTTCTCTCTCTCTCTATAAGATCAACCTCTGTGTCTCTGTCTCTCTACAGATGACCCCATTGCTATCTTATACTTATTATCCACGTTCCCAAAACCCTAGTCTTCAAGGAACACAATATGGACATCTTCCATAACATTAAGTGCAACTTTCCATTTCTTGGAATGCACTTATTCCTCTTTCCTTTAAGTCATAAACTTGCTCCTCAAGTTTATTCCTCTTGCCTTTTCTCCAAGATACACCCTTACTCTCCAAGTCTACACGACTCTAGCTCAGCATCTTGACTCCACATGGTCTTCACCACTCAACACGACGTCTGCCTCAGCAACTACGTCAGCGACTACTTCAGGGCGGACATCTTACATCTTCACACATTTCCTCAGTAAATTGTTTAAAATATGAAATATTTCTCAACTTATCAAAACATAGCCTGGTATCAACGAAGTAAAAAAGTTGAAATATTTCTCAACTTTTTAGAGTGTCTCCTAGTCTTCTCTCTTGGTTTTGAATCCTGGACCAAAGAAGGCTCCAGCTCGTTCGAGCTCGAGTGGGCTAAGACAAGAGATTATTGGGCCATTCGTCTTCTTCATAACAATTTGCAACAAAAAGTAGAGTGGGTTAGAGAAATTAGGCATGGGCATTCGATGGCCCAATAGGTTTCGGTTCGGTTGGTTCGGATTTTCGGTACTGTGCTCATAAGTACCATTCGATTTTTGCTAATAATCAGATCGGGTTCGGTTCGGTTCCTTCCGGGTTCGGATCGGATCAGATTATAACCAATGTCTGAAATTGTTTAAAAATATTTTTTTAAAACTTAAAATGTTTACAAAATAGTATTCAAAATTTGTAAATTATTCACAAGTATAATTAAAAATTAGTTAAATTATCTAAATTAGCTAAGATATATTCAAAATAACATATAACATAGACTATGAAAATATTTAGAATATTATAAACTATCTAAATTACCTTAACATATATAAAAATATTCACATATTTAACTCATTTCGGATACCTTCGGATCTTACTTTGAATTTTGGTTCGGTTCGGGTTATACCCAAAGTCCGAAGTAGGCTCATAAGTCCCGTTCGGTTAGTTTTGTATAATGGTTTGGATTCGGGTTTGGTTTTTTCGGTTCGAATTTAGGTCGATACTTCGGGTTGGGGTAAAAACGCTCAGGCCTAAGAAAAATAGAGCAACGAGAGAAAATATTGATTCATAGAGGTTCAAGAGCTTGTGTTGTTGAATGTGCTTAAATCGTTGTAGTGACTCTTTTTAAAATCATAACATAGAAGTTGAACAATTATATAAAATTTATAATATTAGATGGTTAAAATATTTTGTTAAAGTCTATTTAAAATCTACGAATTTGTCTTTTCTCTCTTTTTAAGAGTGTCTATTTAACACCTGGTAAAACGAAG